GGTGGTAACCCCTTCCTAGGATTTCTGGAGAGGAGATTGGTTTATATGCCCCTTAAGATTACTTCTGGCTTTAAATTCTTAATTTTTTAAAATTTAGTTTGCACAAACATTTACCTGTGGAAGCCTGGATGGCTGTGTGTAGGGTTGGGAAAGGAAGGTTAGGGTGGAGTCATATAATTAGGATGGCTTCCAGGAAGAGATGACATCTTCCTGTTTTCTATTGCCCATCCCCCTTCTCCAGCCTCTGCCTGGGCAAGATCTTCCTCACCTGAGAAGGCTTATATCAGCTGGTGTGGCTCAGTTGGTTGGGTGTTGTTCTGTGCATCAAAAGGTTTCGGGCTCCATCCCTAGTGTGCAAGAGGCAGCCATCACATGTTACACTCTCTCACATCGATGGTTCCCTAAAAATCAATAAAGCATTCTTAAATAAATAAATAAATAAGAAAGAAAGAAAGAAAGAAAGAACCTGGCTCTAGGACCTGGTCTTGTCGAGTCTATCAGTCAACAGGATTGAAATCATTAAGCTGTCAGGTTCCATCCCAGACCTACTGAATCAGAATTTGCATTTTTAACAAATCCCCATGTGATTCCTTTGTACATAGAGGTTTTATTTTACTTTAGTTTTTTCTAATATGCCTTTATTGATTTCAGAGAGAGGAAGGGAGAAGGAGAGAGATAGAAACATCAATGATGAGTCATTGATTGGCTGCCTCCTGCACTCCCCCTACTAGGGATATAGCCCGAAACCCGGGCATGTTGCCCTGACCAGGAATCAAAACTCGATCTCCTTGATCATAGGTCGATGCTCAACTGCTGAGCTACACTGACCGGACTGTACATAGAGGTTTTAAAAACCACCAGTACAGTGGACCTCAACTAAAAAGGTGCTTTGTAAATAACTCTATTAAACTGATATTTAATGCATCCCCTACAAAAAAGAAAGAAAGAAAGAATACTGGGAGTCAGCAACTATTTTTTTTCTTCTTTCATGCCCCATATTCTATCCATCAAGACCTATGGGCTCAATATATGTATATGTATATGTATATGTATATGTATATGTATATGTATATGTATATGTATATGTATATGTATATGTATATGTATATACATGTGTATATGTATATACACGTATATATATAAAATATTAAATTGAGATATAATTGACATAGAGGCTGTGGGGTTCAGAAAGAGATGCGACACAGTGATATGCAAATTACTTTGAGCTAAAGGCAACTCTAGCTGCAGGCTCAAGAAACTTCTGCCTCTCCCTTAGGGGCCCTGCTCATAAAAAGCAATTATCAGAGATAATTTCTTTTGATCTGTCTATAGGGCAGGGCAAAGTTCAATTTCCTAAACCTTTTTTTTTTTTTTCACAGANTATATGTATATGTATATGTATATGTATATGTATATGTATATGTATATGTATATGTATATGTATATGTATATGTATATGTATATACATGTGTATATGTATATACACGTATATATATAAAATATTAAATTGAGATATAATTGACATAGAGGCTGTGGGGTTCAGAAAGAGATGCGACACAGTGATATGCAAATTACTTTGAGCTAAAGGCAACTCTAGCTGCAGGCTCAAGAAACTTCTGCCTCTCCCTTAGGGGCCCTGCTCATAAAAAGCAATTATCAGAGATAATTTCTTTTGATCTGTCTATAGGGCAGGGCAAAGTTCAATTTCCTAAGCCTTTTTTTTTTTTTTCACAGAATGCCTGAAAAATTCAATCTGCTTTACATGTTATAAAGTAGAATAGCAGGAAACTGTAAATTAAACAAAAACACCCCACCCCCCCTTACCAAAAAAGGCAATTAATTATGTTGTATTATCTTTAATTAAGTACACAGATTCTTCAAATTATGTCACTAGAACTCATTTCATCAACTGCTCTGTTTGGCCGCCAGTCTCTCTCTTCAGCAATGGTGAGGCGGATTCCCTTTCCAAGGGGAAAGGAAATCCATGGTTTCTTGCCTTTGCCAATAACAAATGTTGGAGAGCTGGGTGGCAAAGCTGTTGCCATTGGCATCTGTAGCATGAACTACATCTTATCATCCTGCAATGACCCTTTGAAGCTTCCAAGGTGCATTACCTCATCCATAGCTCAAGGATGCCTTATAAACCTCCAACCTCCTTTCTATCTCTGAACCTCTCCTGCTCGTGGGATCTCTGATTCTTTCATGTATGCAGGTTTCCCATACATAGGTATATATTAAATTTGGTTATTTCTCTTGCTAATCTGTCTCATGTCTATTTGATTATTAGACCAGACATAAGACTCTTCAGGGTAGAGGAGTCTTATGTTCCCCCATGGCTCAACCTTAAATATATATCCTATAACTAAGCACTTCTGTACTTCTCCTTTGTCACTACCTATTGCAGCCCATCACCATCTCCCACTTGAACTACTACTGTAGCCTCAACGAGTTTTTCTGATTCTATTTATTTTTTTTTTAATTTTGAGATAATTATAGATTCATGAGAAGTTTCACACACACACACACACACACACACAATGTAAAAGAAAGTCCCACGTGTCCTTCACACAGTGTCATCTATTAGTAGCATCTTGCATAATTATAGTATAATATCCAAACCAGAGAATTGACACTGGTATAATCCATGGAATTTATTCAGATATAATCAGTTTTACATAAACTTATTTGTGTGTGTGTGTAGTTCTATGCAATTTTGTCACGTGTGTAGATTGTGTAACTGCCGCCACAATCAAGATACAGAACAATTCTTTTATCACAAGACTCTCTTGTGCTACTCCTTTAGGAACACACCCATGCCCTTGCTCCCATTCCCTAACTCCTAGCAACCACTAATCTATTCTTCTTTTAAAAAAAATCTATTTATTTTCCCCATAATCTATTCATTTTTAAAAAACTATGTTTTAATTTATTTCAGAGAGAGGGAGAGGGAGAGAGATAGAAACATCAATGAGAGAGAAACATCAATTCGCTGCCTCCTGCACTCCCCCTACTGGGGACAGAGCCCAGAACCCAGGCATGTGCCCTGACCAGGAATTGAACCGGGGACCTGCTGGTGCACTGGATGACGCTCAACCAACTAAGCCACACCGGCAGGGCTATTCCCTTTTTAAAAAAAAATAATTAAAAAAATTTAATTTTAGCCCTGGCCAGTGTGGCTCAGTGCACAGAAAGGCTGCCGGTTCGATTCCGGATCAGGGACATGCCCGGGTTGTGGGCTCCATCCGCAGTTGGGGGAGTGCAGGAGGCAGCTGACCCATGTTTCACTCTCACATTGATGTTTCTCTCTCTCTCCCTCTCCCTTCCTCTCCTTCTCAAAATCAATGAAAAATCTTCTAAAAAGAAAAACATTTGATTCTAGAGATAGAGGAAGGGAAAAGGAGAGAAACATCGACAGGCTGCTTTCCATACCCACCTGGGATCGAACCTGCAACCTGGGCATGTGCCCTGACCCGGAATCGAACGGCAGCCCTTTGGAGAAAGGGAGGAAGCTCCAACCAACCGAGCCACACAGGCCAGGGCTTGAAGAGCAACAGTTTTTAAAATTCACTAAGATCCAACTGATCAACCTTTTCCTTTAATGGGTTGTCCTTTTGCTGGTAAGTCTAAAGCGCCTTTCCCTAGCCCTTGGCCCTGAAGAATTTTTTATCTTATTTTTTCTAAATTTTCGATAGTTTTACACTCGACATTTAAATCTACGATCCATTTTGAGTGAGTTTTTGTTTAAGGTGGGAGGTTTAGGCAGACGTTTGTTTTTCTTCCCCCCATAGATGTCCAATTGTTCAGCCGTTTTTTGAAAAGACTCCTGATTCCACTTTGCATC